CGGATCGCAAGTTCAAATCCTGGGAGAAAAATCAGATGCACACAAGAGTGACAAGACTGTACACACCTTTATCGGACTGTAAGAAAACGGATCGCGAGTTCAAATCCTGGGAAAAAAATCAGATGCAAACAAGAGTGACAGGACTATTACGAGTGACAGGACTATTACGAGTTCGTAGAGCAATAGTACTTTTAATTTTCAATCTTTCAAGACAAAAAGGATCGCAAGTTCACAACAGGGGAGCAAAGACGTGAACACAGTTCAACATAAATGTAAAGTTGTAAACAGTTTGGGAAACTTCTACACATCACATCATTGTACACAGGGACGCTGGACCCGATTTCCAGCTGGTGCAGCTCCCCACCAATAGATGGAGTCTCCGACGCTGGGAGCCTGGGGCCCACTTATCGGGCCTGCTCTTATCACCTCGTTAAGTAGGTTTTTCCCGTATACGAAGTGGGAAAAAAAAAAAAAACAAAAAAAAAAAACACAATTTTTATGTTGTTATTTCAGGTCTGAAAGGAAAGAGTGTGACACGGCAAGCTGACAGTCAATCCTCCACCATCGGTGGAGTAATCAATGCTGCTCAGGGGTCCTTCGGCCAAACAGAAGGAAGCGTGCGTTTCTGCTGTAATGTAATGTGTATTCTGACTTGCCGGTGGAATAGGAACCGGCACTGACGCTCCCCAGAATAGAAGGAGCCAGGACCACAAGGCCCCGTTTAAAATTAAAAAAAAAAAAAAAAAAAAAAAGTTAAACAAATCCAAGCAGTCAAACTTGTGGGAAAGTAGTATACTTTGTGAATTTACAAGGCTCGTAAAAGTACTAAGCTTGGAAAAGAACTAAACACATAGTTACGAGTTTCTGTAATCAGGGGATCCCCTCCCATCCACCAACCTTCCAAGGGAAGTTGTGGCCATGAGCTCCAAAGAAGACTCAAACACAAGTCGGATAGGGATATTTTTAACTTGCTCCTTAAGCCATTCACACTGCACAGCATACAGAAGATCACACCAACAACAGGTAAGTCAGGAAGTTCCTTTTGTGGGCACCGGAAAAGTAAAAAAAAAAAGGCAAAAAAAAAAGCAAGTTAAGACGTTTTTCTTGGGATGTTAATGGACATGAACTAAGATGGGAGACAATCGCATGCCAGCCAACAGCAGAGGTCCTGCATCGCCTGAAGCCATCAGAGACTTCTGCTCACGGTAAACCCTAAAGCTCGACGTGCTAAATATGTCATCACAGACCACCTGAGCTTACCCTTAACCCTGAAATTATGAATGCCCTAAATCCCACAAGCCCTGAATAGGCCCTAAAGTTCCGATGCCCTAAAGCCCTTAGGGCAGATCATCCAAACCCTTTTTGGGATACCTGAGCCCTTAGCCCTCCCTAGTGCCCTTTACCCTCAGCTTTTAGCCATTACCCCTTAGCCCCTTAGCCCTAAGGCCCTGAGGCTCTTAACCCCATAGCTCTTAGTCTTTACCCCTTAGCCCTTTGCCCTTTGCCCTTAGTCCTTTGCCCTTAGCCCTTCGCCCTTCGCCCTTAGCCCTTTGCCCTTTGCCCTTTGCCCTTAAGCCCTTCGCCCTTCGCCCTTAGCCCCTAAAGCCCTTAGCCCTTAGCCCTCCAACCTTAGGCCTTCACTCTCAGCCCCTTAGTCGTTAGCCTTTATCCGTTAGTCATAAAGCCCTCCACCCTTTGTCCTTAAGTGTTTAGCCCCAACACCCTAGCCCCTTAGCCCCTTACCCCTAAAGCCCTGAGGCTCTTAACCCTGTAGCTCTTAGCCCTTAGCCCTTTGCCCTTAGCCCTTTGCCCTTAGCCCTTTGCCCTTAGCCCTTCACCCGTCGCCCTGCACCCTTCGCCCTTCGCCCTTAGCCCCTAAAGTTCTTAGCCCTCCAACCTTAGGCCTCCACTCTCAGTCGTTAGCCTTTAGCCGTTAGCCATAAACCCCTCCACCCTTTGTCCTTGGCCTTTAGCCCCTTAGCCCCAACGCCCTAAAGCTCTAAACCCCTTAGGCCTTTGCCCTTAGCTCTCAGCGCATATACTTTCCTTAGCCCTTAGACCTCGATCATTAGCCCTAACACCCTTAGCCCTTGGCACCAACTTCCCATAGCCCTCAGGTCTTATCCTAAAAGCCTTTAGCCCAGACAGACTGCGCAAGCCTCCCACCACAGGGTTGAGATTGTAGGATCATATGTTCTCTGAGTCCCGTGCCATGGTACGGCCTGCGCTTACGCAGTGACTCACTCGCACCCACCTGATCGTAGTCGAAAAGGAGACTTCCAAAGAAAGCATCTGCATTCACCAGAGCGGCCTGGACCTGCCAATTTCCACAAAAGGAGAGAGCCCAGAGCAGAAAAGGAAGGTGTCAACGGTCATGAAAAAATGGTTTGTTTTAACTTCCTTCTGCACAACATGAAACCGAACAGCACAGAGAAGAACAAGAATGTGTTTTCCAATCTGCCTCCTCTATTTTCTTTTCTTTCTTTCCTTTTCTTTCTCTTTTCGATCCACACAGTAAAAACGCGGCATAGGGGATTGGTCGCGCTTGGATGATAGTGGTGGTCTGATGCAAGTTATCTCCGACAGAAAACCCTCACCATGGTGCTGGACAGAGGACAGCATATAAGCACGGAGGCAAGAAGATTTTGTTGTTTCCCTTTCAGGGTGGTCATGGGTGATTCGAAAGAAGCATTCAGAGTGGCTTCCTAGCTCCGAGGGTGGTGGGAACAAACAGTCTGTTGGTGTTCTACTTGTGGTGGGAGTAGGTGATGGGGTCGTTTGGTTGGTGTTGGTTTTATGTGGAGTCTGTGGACTGCTTTGTCTCGCCCATCCGCTTGCCTTGTTGTTCTGCCGTGCTCCCTTTGCCTTGCCGCCTTTTGCCTCGCTGCCTGCCCCTTGCCTCACTGCCCTTTGCCTTGCTGCCTGTGTCACGTGCATCATTTCTTCGCTGGCCCTTCTGTGCTGCATGCCTTGTCTTTCTGTGCTTATTGGCTTTGATGTTTGGCTTCCTTTGGGCTCACTGCTATTTTGCTTCACCGCGTTTTGCCTCACTGCCTCGTGGCTTGTGTGTTCTTTCAGCAGTGCCTTCCCGTGCTGCTTTTTGCCTCGCTGCCTTGCTGCTTCATGCCTTGCTGCCGTGTTGCCTCACTGCCTGCTTGTCGAGCGGCTTGGTTGGCCCTTGCTCAAGGAGTCGTACTGCTTCCCTTGTTGTTTGTCTGTCCACAACCTCCCCCGTGCCCTCCAGCGTATGTGCCTTGCCGCTGCTTGTCGTCCAATTGGCTTGTTGCTTCGCCCTTGCCGTGCTGCTTGTGCTGCTGGTTGTCCGCTTACAACAGGGGATAAAGAGTTAAAAGACTCAAAGCATCAACACGGGAATTCCGCAGATTGTTGAGGATTGAGCCTTCTGATGACCGGTGCAACTTCGACGAGACAGTCTTGAGTTTTTTTTTCTTTTCCCAGTTTTGAGCTTGTCTTTTTCCTGCCTTTCATTTGTCCAGTGGGTTTATTTGGGTTTATCAGGAGATCTGTCTTTGGACTTGACTCAGTCAGGCCATACTCACTCTAGGACTTCTTTACGTGGAAATGGACGGAATTGCGTTCAGATGCATATTACAGGTTTGGCCGTAAATTCAGTCAGATACATTTCACATGATTTAGTGTGAGTATGTCCTCAGATGCATACTTTCCTCCTGGAGTGTTCCCTCAGATGCATGCTTTCCTCCTGGAGTGTTGCCATGGTATGGTGCATGGTCTTTTACCATGCTGAGGTTGAATTATATATGTTTCACACACGCACACACACACACACACACACACACACACACACACACACACACACACACACACACACACACAGTGTCACACACTCTTTGTTACACACAAGCGCTTGGTGAAGTCCTGGTTCTCTTTTTTTTTTTCTGCCTTTCTTTTCCTCTTTTTTTTTCCTTTTTTGTTTCCTGGGTCTCATCGTGTACAAGGGAAGAGAACAATGAAGGAGAGAGGGTGGGCACGTCCACCAGCATCTTCAACATTATTCCAGCACAGTCACATAAGCAACCTACCTCCTTCCGCCTGCTGTCGATATCCCGGTCACTGAACACTGAAAGCCTGATACCTGGCCAGTTGAGCATCACAGATGTCACAAGGAAGAATGCCAGCAAAGGCGCTTGTCAATACTGAACTGAGAAGCACTCCAAGCTTTCAGGATTAAAACACAAAAAACAAAGAGAAGGGTAGAGGTCATCAAAACAGCCACAGAATTTGACAGAAAGACAAAAAGAACAAAAGAAAAAAGTGATAACTTTGTGAATTGCCCCCAAAGCCGAGATATATCCCAAAATGTCCCTCAAAGATCTGGGCAGAGTGGAATGCCTGAGACTGCTGGGCCTGGATGCGGTTTCACCCAGTTTGCCCCTCCTATCACTGGGCAACTTTATGGAATGCCCAAGCCGTAGGCGTGGCTATGCACCCCAACACTTTGGGTCTCTCAACTCCGCCCTCAGCCGCTCCCTAATCAACTCCCTGTTCAAGGACATCATTGTCAGTCTTCCTTTTAACGCGCATGAGAGAGAGAGAGAGAGAGAGAGAGAGAGAGAGAGAGAGAGAGAGAGAGAGAGAGAGAGAGAGAGAGAGAGAGAGAGAGAGAGAGAGAGAG